ACCCGTTCCTGACACCATAAAGCATGAATCATGACAGGTGGTCTCTATGCTCCGTCTGGCGGGTCGGGCGAGAGCGCGAAGCGGGAGAGACGGAGACGGACGCGTAGGCAGGCCGTGGAAAGACGAAGAAGGCGGGGCTCAAGTTGCGCGAAGGAAAGGCGCGGTTGGGGGCCTGCGGCTGGATCCGCGTACTTATCTAGAGTCTAGACCATGACGGTGCTCTCGAACGTGTTGCTCGCGCTCGCAATGCACCCCGAGGCTTTCGCGCGCGGACAGGCGGAGACGGACCGCGTCGTGGCGCGCACGCGCGATGTTGACATGCGCATGCAGTGTGCGCGCGGACGGCGCCGGTGGTGTGAACGCCGTACAGCTAGAATTTTTCTTTGTCATCGCTGGTTTCAATTTGTGCGGGAAACAGACGGTCTACTTGCTATGGGAGCTATTGCACGACCGCATGCAGACCTTCAAGGACGGTGTTGCGGGGTGGGTGGATGCGCATCGTTCATACGGCGGCAATGACAATGGCAGCGGTTGGAAAACAAAGTACGCAGGCGTTGTTGGCCTGTGTCGGGCCCTTGGCAGATGTTGCCGTTGACGGAACCTATGACGTCAAGAGCTGGTAGCCCACGTGGTGGGTCCTGCGGGCCAATACGTGGTTCGCACCTTGCGACAATGTGCTACCCTCGTGGGTGCACGTGCTGCGGTCGACTCATTCCAAGGGCGTACGATCCGACTCGTGTCCTCATCCTGCTTCTACTATCTCATCGATCCTCTCTGCCATATCCGCTTTGACTCGCATGTCGCCTACTCTCTCAGAGGTAATACACGTGCTGCATACTTTTTGAAACACGGCTGACAATGTTATGGCAATACTAGTTGAAGGATGCGGACGCTGTTGTTCCACACTCCAGGAAAATCGACAAAGATATTCACTTCGAAGACGGAAATGTGATCCTCGCTGTTGAGGATGTAGAGTTCAAGCTCTATCGAGGAATTTTGATCAAGCACTCCTCGGTATTCGCGGATCTGCTCGCTGCGGCGCCTCCCTCTCTGTCGTCAACCGGCGCGCCCAGTCCTTCAACGGGGAAAGCGGAACCGCGCGTCACTGAGTCTGCACGTACGGTGGTGGTGCTGAAGGACTCGGTGCGAGACTGGCGACACGTTCTTCGTGCTCTATTTCAAGGGACCATGTTATCCGAGTACTTCTCCCCGCTCATATGCACTGAGCTGCGATGTCTGACATACCTCAGTGTGATCGCAGGCGGCAATTCAACGACGTGGAGTCCCTCGTTTGACCAGCTTTCCGCTTACGCCCGTCTAGGACACAAGTACAAGATATCAGCGGTCTATGACCCCTCGATGGTGTACCTGAGACGGTACTTCAAGCCCACGCTTGCTAAATGGAAGCAAAGATCTACCGGACCCGGCTTGGAGCCGTACACCATGCCTTTGGGCAGGCCCGAGCACAGCATCGGAGTTGTCAACCTCGCACGACAGATGGGCTGTCTGTCGCTTCTGCCCCTCGCTCTGTTGTGTTGCTGCCAGCTGGGTCCTCGAATGGATGGTGGGTTCGTTTACAGCAATGGAGAGAAGGAGATGTTGTCAGGCGAGGATACCCTACTCTACCTCAAGTCTGTCCCAGCAATCGCGTCTTACGGCGTCGCGAATAGCCTGTCCTTTGCAGCCATTCCCACCACCTCGAAGTGCAAGAAAGACGGCTGCGTTTCGGCCGTCGTGAAAGCCATGCGGGATCGAAAAGTGCTTCAACCTAGCCCGTTCATCCAGACCGATAACGTGGCGCTTTGCATGGGATGTAGGCAATGCGTCGACAGGATGAACGAACAAGCGCTGAAAGACCTCCCATCGCTCTTCGAACATCCCGGAACCTGTTATGCAGACACCAAGGCTGGTAGGGGTACGATGACCGTTCTCCCGAACCCCACAGAATGCCTCTGCTGATCGTTTCTCAATTTAGCGCCGTTCGCTGCATGGCCCGTCGACTGTAACGTCGAGTTTGACACACCCGAATAGAGGGGGAAGCAGTACGATCTCTCGTACCTCTAGTTTTTTCGCGAATGCTACTCACACGCGTGCTTGCAGAGCTTGATCCACTGTCTCGCCACGAGGTTCGCGACGCGCGCAGGATGGCGTCGCGCGCGAGGTTGACGGCGTCCGATGATGCGTAGAGCCTGGGCCGGGCTCGGGACTCTATTTAAGTATCACTACGAACGTGCGCACGCTTTGCATAGGTACCCATCGCGCCTGCACTATCGGGAGCCAGAAATTCAGCTGCTGCGCGTCGAGTGGCTATTTACCCTTGATAATGAGGACGGTTCGGGCCCGCCTGTACGACTCCGTGCCAGTGATGGAGGCGATTATGTGGAATAGAAGGGTAACCGCAGCAGTGGAAGACCAGGAGTGGTGGAGGGCAGTATGAAGACGTACTGAAAACGAAAACAAGACTGGCCGCTACTACAAGTCTACACATGTTCAGAGACGGCGCCCACGCGTTACGTCAGTAACACCACATCACGTGATGTGGATTATTTTGAAGGAGAGTCGGAGACTCCTTGTACTCCCGCAAGTATTCACTCTCTTTCCTCTTCGTCAGACACTGCCATCTCCACATCACACTACGGTGACACATCACAGGACGCCTCTTTCGCTCTCTTTAACACTCTATCCTGCTGATGTCGTAAACTCCACTGAGCGGGACGGTCGGAGGAAAGGGATGCTGAGAACAGACTGCTGGATCCAGGTGAGTGCTCATCCACCTATATAGTGAAGCCCTCCACACCCACCACTCGATGGATGCAGGACTCCACACGGCAGACCATCTAGACACGTCACCCAGGTGCGATCCACCTGCTTCTGTCTCGTTGCCCCGCACTGCTCTCGAGGATGCTCGCATTTTTCACAGGAGCTGTGCAGGGAGTGCGTTGTTCCGTTGTCATCTAAATCGTATGGTTCGTCCTCTTTCTTACGGCGGTGATCCCTCTCCGACCTCTCCACCAGCCGTTTGGGTGCTCTGTACATACTCCCATCTCGTTTGCGTTGACGGTTTATGGAAGGATGGATCCTAGGAAGATTCCAATCTATTCACAGGGAAGCAATGGTAACTTTGGCGCAGTGGCACTCAATGTGAGTAATATGTCTGCGATGTCTAGATCTACCTGGCTCGAAGAATAGTCCATTTTTTGCACGCATATACATCTATCAAAATCTATTGTGGGTGCGTGTGATCTCGAAGACAATGAGCCCTGCATTGTTCTACATGAGGGTCTCATGGTAAGCCGTCCGTATGCCGTCTGGCAGGCGTTTGTATCAACAGGGTAAACGCGCGACCGTGGTCTGGTACAATGACCAGAGTCACATATGAATTCCGCAGCGTCCTGAGACCCTCTCCGTCTTTCGCTCTCATTCCAATCTGCTTCAGATGTCCTTCCCAGAAGATGCCTACCAGCCCAGGGGATTAAACGCTCCCTTGGTTAACGGGCCAGAATACCCCCGCAGCGATAGCCCTGATTCCAATACATACGGATGGAAAACCCCAGCAGGATACATAACTCCAATGATTCCAGAACAAAGCCCGCCACTCATCCGTAGGCCCCCCTACTATGTTCCACTCACCCCCTCGCTCACGTGCCCTCTGACAGCCTGGGTTACTCCCCCTCACATTGCTAGAATCCGCGACCGTCTGTACACGCCTGAAACTCCCCTTCAGTTCGGATCGCCGTTGGAACTTGGATCGCCATCGAATCGAAACTACCATCCAGTATCACCGATGTTCTATGACGACTTTGCGCGAGCCCCTTCACGAGCTGACACCCCGGACGGTCTGTTTCGGGAGCGCCTCCCCCGGGATGGCTTCAATCCCGTCGGTGTCTCCACCCCCAGCATAGAGTGCACGGCAGACGAGGAGGTGTGGGTCACGAATGGCGACATGTACGTTATCGGCCAGGGTGCCCATATCCTGTTCCGTGTCGACAGTCTTGTTTGTTTATTTCCTGTTTAACGCCCTGGAGGGCCGAGCCCTATGGTAGGCGATACGTACAAGTCTATCTAGCGGGGAATGAAATGCGTATACGGGACGGAAGACGTGTCGGCACGGGGGCCGGGGTGGCCAGAGGGGTCTAGCCGTTGCACAGTCGAAACGGGGTGAGTGGGTAGCGAAGGGGCAGTGGGTGCGGATGCGAGAGTGGGGGTGAGTGCCGGAGGGTACCATACATGACCTCCGCTCCGCCCGCCCAGGTTCGCCAGCTTCCTCCGCGGCCTCTGAGCGCCGGGGGAGTCGTGTGTTTTGGCCTCTGGAGCGAGGCGGCCGTGGCCTCGCGGGTGGTGGTGGTGGGGGAGTATGTGTCGACAGTCACCTCCTCGCCTCCCGCTCCCCCACCCTCAGCAAGTCCATTCACACCGAAGTCCAAGTTGGGGTACGGCTTAAAGATGTGGAGTGGCTCGGAGACAACTGGTTCGACTCGCTTCCCGTATGGATCGTCGACCAAGACACGAAAGTCCTCCGGTTCTTCTTGAAAGCCATGATGCAGCCCCCGCACCGCGTTCTGTACGTCCCATCCCGTTTCCCACCTATTTCCACGGTTCTCACTTCGCGCAGTAACGCAGTCTATCGCGGCGCCCGCATCCCCTTCGAAGAAGTCGTCGCCGTCGCTCGGCTCGCCCACCGCTTCGACGTGCGCCACGCCCTCCACGCCGCGCTGCAGCACCTCACCAAGTTCTACACGACCGACTTCCGGAGCTACCACGACCACTCGCACAGCAGGGACCTCGACGTGCCCAGCGACGAGTGCGCCGTCGCCGCGATCCAGATCGCGCGCCTCACCAACACCCCGTCCATCCTCCCGCTCGCCTTCTACCTCTGCAGCCTCCACGAGTGCTCGAACGGCTACCTGGACCCGCGCCTGCGCATGCGCTTCGAGTGGCGCCCCTTGCACGGCCCGGTCGAGGGGCTCCCGGCCGAGGACCGCGACGTGTGCCTCAAGGGCGTGTGGGAGCTCTGCGAGGCGATGGTGGGGCGGTACGAGAAGGTCTACGACGGGGGTGCCGGGTGCCGCGAGGAGTGCGCGAGGGCGCGCCGGCGGCTCTTCGAGGCGACGAACGCCCACGGTGAGTATCTGATGACGCGCCGCGAGGAGGTGGCCGTGGACGGCCTCTGCGGAAAGTGTGCGGCGGATGTGCGTGGCGGATGCGGAGGATCCGGGTCGCGCTCTGGAACGGGATCCCTGGGTTTTTCAGCCTGCCTGTGCCCCGAGGGTGGAGGGTTGACGAGTAGTGAGTTGTAGTCACTGTGTCGCACAAGGATGGTGGGATCAAGTACTCATGGAGATATGTTGCGGGTTCATCAATGCGAAAGGGGAGCTCTAGTAGCACTTTTTCCCATGCATATATCTCTGAACTACGTCGGAAGCGGGTGTGCGCTGCCTGCACACGAACCGCTCTGTTCATCAACAACGTATAAATAGGATTGTCAAGTCAATGCACATACATCGCTCCATGCATCCGCCCCATCTACACCGGAGCGAACCCATTCGACGGCGCGTACTTGTACCTCTCTCGCTCCCGCTCCCGCGTGGCGCGTCCGCGTACCCCGTGAACGGCTGCACGGCGGCACCAACCCCACGTTCGAGCCCATCCCACCCCGGTGCCCAATGGAGCGCGGCTGTAATCCTTCTCGTCCTTCGCGAGGGGGATGTGCAGCCCAGCGACGACGTACACCAGGACGACGGCGCACTCGGGGAAGGACGGAAAGCGCGAGGTAGACGCCCCATTCGCCGGCCGTGGCGTTGAACTTGGCGAGGCTCGAGGACGCGAAGTACGGGTTCGGGATGCGCTGCGGCGGGTCTGAGGCGGAGAACGCGAACGGAGACGGTGAGAACGCGGAGAGGACGGAGTAGAGCACGCGCAGCGCAAGGATTGGCAGGCACGGACGATCGCCGCAAGGAGCTGTCAGGACCGCTCGTCAGCGACTGCGACGCGGGTGCGAGATGAGGCAGATAGGACGCACCTTGCGCGCTGCCGGAGAACTTGGTTTCTGTTCATCCAGCAAAACGCGGTCGTGAGACAATGGAGATGTACAGCGCGACGAAGAGGATGATACCGATGTGCCTGTATTTCCCGCTCGAGTCGAGGTCCGCCTGGTTCTTGGCGCTTCCGGCTTTCGTCCGCCATGACGGCGAGGATGACCCCACGGTGCCGAGGGAACTGAGGAGGTGGAAGATGCGAGAGCCCATCAGCGGGTAGACGTCGAGGGAATGCTGGCCGCTGGTACAAACTTCGTTCAATAGTGCCCATGGAAAGGCACAAAAGTACTTACACCGTTCCGAGAAAGCCTAGGGTGGCGACAAGAAGAGGAGAGAGGCCTGACGCTTCCATGATGCTGTAGATGGTTTGAAGAGTCGAATTGGAGGGGTTGCTCTCGAGAGAACGTGCGTACGCCTCCGATGATCCTGACTAGCAAAGGAGTCGTTTAAGCACGGAGACGATAAAAAATGCAATTAACTAACTGGTCGAGAGCAGATGAGAAATATC